ATAAAACGGAAGAAAGTTCATATTGTTATTATAACACAGTTTATATTCGTGTGGTGTTTTAGATTCTATTTTATGAATTGTTTCGTTATTATTTATGCCTGCACAAGTTCTGTGCTGTCGCTGATTGGAAGAATTTTGCTGGAAGCAACCGGATCTAAGCGATTGTTAAATAACAGAAAAGTCAAAAATCAGGTCAACTATCAATACAACATTTTTGCCGAGTTCTTTGTGTTTTACTTTCTTTACTATATCTATTTAATGTTTAATAATGTAAAAATTAAATGTACCCATTTCAGACATAGGCTATAATTAATATAATTTTCTCTGTTTGTGTAAATTTGTGTAGAACAGAAACGTACATTGTTTACTTAGTTTGAAAAGTTTGAATTTAGTTTACACTTCTCTCTTTTAATTGTTAAATAATATTCTATAGAAACTATAATTAAAAGTATGATCTACTTTATGTTCATTGATTAAACTTAATCAAGTCACGTTATATGCATTCACGGTCATACAGAATTATCAAGGTGAATATAAGAAAACCGGATGTTTCTTAAGACATACTTATTTAGTCAAAACAAAAAAAAACACAAGGAAGTTCATAGAAACAGTATGATAAGATCCATTCTTAAGAAGCTGTGTTAATTTTACGTTCCGTGACAGGGTCAGGAAAGATATCTCTTCTTGTTTGGTATGCATTAATCTGTATAAACCGCACGAAGCATCTTTCAAATCCTTCCGTGTTAATCTGTAATAAAATCTGCTACAGTAAATTGTATCGTTCTGTTAACAAAATAAATCGTACGTTACAATGCCAATCATAAATTAGTAATTTTGATAATTCTTGTTAAAAACGCTTTTATTGGTCACATTTTCTTAGATTGGAGGTGAGAGATTGCCCCCACTATATACATCAATACAGTGTATGGAAAATATACACGTCTTGATTAAATTCTACATTTTGGTTATGTTTATCGGTTTCGGAGTGCGGAGAATGTAGCGGTGTGTCCCCTAAAACATCATTAAAATGCATTGTCATCGGAATTACGTAAGTCCTCAAAGTTTCAGTGTGTTATCTTAATTAGAAGCGGATGAAATTTGAGATGCAAGATTTGAAAATATGATTAAAACAAACAAGTTAAATAGCGTTTAAGAACGTCTCGTTAATATCTCAAAATAATAAATTCGGTTCATTTTCATCAATAATATTTCAAAAGTAAAGGAATATAAACAAGTTTTGCTAAATATATTTTGTAATTATTTTACATGGCGCAATACTCAAAATTCTGTGAATTTTCTAGTTTGAAGATCAAGCTTACTTTATAGTATACAGTATAAATATTTAAAAAGTCACGAGTATGCGATTTTGTTAAATGTATTTTCCATTATTTATTTTAAAAACTAAATAAAATGCAAGAAAAAAATAGTAAGGCGTTAAATCATTATTAAGGATCTTCAAGATCCATAATAATCTTTAAATTATTAAATTTAAATATTTTTATTTTTTAATGCATTTATCGTGATAAATCCTTGAAATAAACCGTGATTATCGTGAAGATAATTACAAATATTCATGATTATGTTAATTTTAAAAGCGTATATAACTTAATTTTAAAAATTATGTTTGTAAGGAAATCTTTTGTAAAATCCTAAGTTTATGTTTTATGAATTAGTGATTTTTGTATATTTAATGCTATAGTTCAGTTACTTAATAAAGTTCAAATGCGAAACTTTTTTCTTATTCACGATAAATAATAATTTACATGGAAATTTTCTAATGTCTCCTTTTCTCAGAAAGAGAACAATAAAAGAAAACATTAAATTATAAATTTGTGAAATTACATTTCTAAGAATCGAAATTATTCTCATAAAATACATTTTAAAACAGATATTAAAAACAAATTCAGTTTTGAATTTTAAATCATTCTATAATATGAACTTTTAAATGTTTTGATGTTATCCTGTTTGGTTTGATATTTCTTATTATAGATAATTCAGTCCTTCGTCGTTACATAAACATGTGAAATTTTTAATTAAAAGAATTGGGAAATTCTGATATTTTATACAAAAAAATTCCCAAATTTCACGCGTTTTTTACACGAGGGAAACGAAGCGTCATAAAGTTGCTAAACAACATTTTTTGAATTCCTCGTACAGTTTTCGTCACTTCGATCAAAATTTTTACGCAATTTTTAATCAAAACAACTTTTTACAAACTAATTATCGACAATACGAATTTTATATAAGAAATCCGAATAGTTTTGTAAATCACGTGATTGAGAATAACATCAATTACTTATAGACTATCACTAACCTTACAAGGATAGCTGTCAGTGTGGGGGAACCACAATTATGTCCGTATATGTATGCAAAATTAAAAGCCATAAAAAATAACAGCTAAATGATTTCAATTTTATTTTCAGATAGACTTCTAAAGTAGAAATAAGAAATTTTCATTTTTTATCTATTAAAAAAATTCCTTAACAAATAGTAAATAAAAGTCTGTTTATCTTAATTATATGATGAAATATCTTAACCAAAGGGACCCTTGAGTAGAGAAACCAGTCATAGTTATTCACATACGATAATACAAGAAGACATTGTATCGATTTGTTTTTATTTATTATTTTAAATATTTTGATTTATTTATTTGCCTAGTTACCTATATTTTAGTTGAAAACACTGCATCAATATTACAATAAAATGTTAACGTCAAGTGATTCCAGGTAAATATTCTTTGTTGTAAAAAAACAATGAAAATATTGTTTTTTACAAAATAATATTTACATGGATTATTATTTCTTTTATTTCTCTCGATGATATTAATTTCAATTTTGTTTGAAAACGCTTTTGAACTTCGTTTATTGCAAACTTATATTCCACAGATTCAGAGATTAATAATTACGTAGGAGAATTTTGAAATAAAAACTACCATTCCATGAAAAATATAGCAATTAATAGAAAAATATTTCATAAAAAAAAACATGAAAAATAAAAGGAAATATAATTTTAGCTGATCATGAAAAACTATCAGCATAAAATGAAAGTATCTTCGTACAGTGCGTTTCATAATGATATCACCACTATTTTACGTATAACTTTGGCAGAAATCATTGCAAATACAAATGAACTCTAACCAATGAAAAGTAACATTTTAAGAAAAAGTTATTTACTATATACAACAACTAAATAAAATATCGGCTTAAAAATATAAAAGTAAATCTATTTTCTCAGAAATATGGTGTTTCAAAATCATATGACCATTAGACTTGATAGTTGGTGTAGCCCCCAGATTTCTGAAACACAGCAAAAATGCGATCTGGCATTGAATGTACCAGCCTCTATTATAGTTGTGGATCAATTTATTTCCATTTAGTAGTTATTGCAGCTTTTAATTCAGATATACTATCATACCGTTTTCCATTTTTATATACTGCCCACGAGATGTTCCAAAGATTCTCCATTGGATTCAGATCAAGTGAGACAGCTGACCATTCCATTACGTGCATTCCGTTATCAGAATTAATCCCAATCTAAATTAATTGTTTTTCATCAGTAAATATTACTCCTTCATATTCTTTCTTCCAGGACATATGATATCTTGCCCAGTTAAGTCGACTTTCCTCATGCTTTATTTATCATTCGCGGAGAAGATGGACCAGGTAAATTTATAGATGGTAAAAAGTCCTCATGCTATTTGGCGAAGAAACGCTTTTCCACTCCCTAGCTTTTTCAAAATCATTATTTTCTGTCTACCAGAGAGCTTTTCTTTTCGACCTGAGATTTATTTTTTCATAGGCATCACCCAATCGAAGAAAATTCAATATTGCACTATGAGATCGATATGACAATTTAGCGATTGAACTCACTGATTTTCCAGTCTTTCCAAGTCCATTCTGGATTTTTTGAAATTCATTTAAAGGTTTTCCTCAGCCTAACTTAGGCACATAATTATCTGGAAGTTCCACAGTAAAGACGTCACCCGGATGATCGTTTTTATCATTGGAGTAATTTGAATAATTCTCGATGGTAAATAAAAATGTCACATGTTAACTGCATATCAAGACAGCAGTTCTGATTTCTATAAAAAGATTATATTATTTTGCAATGCAAAATTTCTGAGATAATACGGGTTTCTTATTTTAAGTCATATTTTTATTTCGTTTGTTTTTCTGATTATTTACACTTAATTCATGATTAAATATTATAATCGAAAAAGTTCCTTATCTGTACTTGACCTTTTTAAACTGGATTATTTGAAAAACTGATGATGTCAAATCATTATGAAAGCATTATATATCCCTTCCCTACCCCTCAGGAACCCAGAATGTCTTGAGGAGTGAAGAAGGAAACGAGATATGATTTTTTTAATTTTATGTTTGAGCTTCTAAATTTGTGAATTTTAATAATATATAGCCTACGTACTGTACTGTACATTTATTAAACATCTCGCGTATATACTTAGCAGTAGCAAAAGTAATACATTATATTAAGATCTTAATACGGTTTTTAAAAATTATAAAGAAAAATTTTTAACTTATATTATTTTTAAACTAAGAAAGGAAATATTGATAGCTTTTCGTGATCCGCTGAAACTATATTTCCTTTTTATTTATATATGAACCTTATATATTAAACCAAAAATAAATAAATATTGACCTATATATTTTGGTTTAAACAACATTTTTTGTATTTGTACCTTTTTTCATGCTTCTTTAATGCATTTTTCTACCGTATTATTTAGTACATATTTATGCATTACGTGACATGAATTAAAATTTATTTTCGTTATTCAGTTTTTAGAAAGAATTAAGCATAGGCAATTCCATTCGAGCCGTATCAATATGGCTCGAATGGAATTGATTATATAATATTAATATTTAGAATACAGTAGATTCTTACTTTATAATAGAAAGCAGGATAATTTAGCAAAATTAATTTTAGTATGTTAGAATGATTAGGAAAGTTATTTTAGTTCTAGTCTCCAGTTTTGGTTAAAAATGACCAAAAATAACGTTAGGAAGTATCTGAAATTTCCGAGATGAGATGACAATATATTAATATTTTGTTGTAATATTTCCGATTCACATAACATTTATTTAGCAACTTTTATTTCCTTGTTTCGTGTTTCTGATGAATTATAAATTTTATTAAACGTTGTTGTAAATCAAAATTTATTTATTTTCAATTTATATTTAATTCTTATAAGTTAATTTCATTACACGTACTAAATATATTTAGTAAATCTACGCAAAAATAAATCATTTTTAAAGTTCGTCTCTCCCTTCATATAATTCCTGATTTAAGAAGCGAATGAAAAAAAAAATTGATATTATTGTAAAAATTCCATATAATGTTTACTAGTTAAATTGTAAATGTATGTTCTATATTACATAACTGAAATCACATTTTTACAATTGTATCATTTCCATTCTAAATATATATAGGCCTATATATATTTTTCTAAAGTTTAGCCTAGTTTGTTCTCTTATGTTACTCTTTCTTATTTTAAATTTTAATGCTTAACTTTATTTTTATTAAATTAGTGTTTGTGATTCTTTATTTAGAATTGCGTTTAATGTGTTAAATAAATAATTATAAGTTAAATTTTATATTTATTTAGCATTTTTATCCATTTATTTCAATTAGAGTCGTAGGAGGAGACAGCACAAAATCATCTACAAATAGCAAGAATTCTTATACTTGGATTAGCCTATACTTTGTATTATCATATTATCATTATATCAGGAATGTTATTTACACTGACTAAGTATATTAAACTACTTATGCGTTTAACTGTAAAAAGAATTTTATAGATAACAGAAACTATTGGTTTCAGATAATTTTTGCAAAACTCATGCAATTATTTCTATTAATAAATCAAAAGTTCTAGCATTTATTGCCAATTGTGCAAAATATAATTTTGCTATTGCTAATGGTACACAGCTAAGGAATTCAATAATCCTTTGCAGATTAACTCCATTAACATTGATTTTTTTATTCAGATTTTCTAATTTCAGAGTGGTTACCATTTAAAATAAATTAAATATAATTTTACTGAGAAATTAGGTATCAAAATTCCATATTTTTCTATTTGTACAGTACGTTTAATTTATCTATTTATTATATGTAATATTATAATGATCGGAGACAACCTCTCAAATTAAAAATACGAATAAAATTACTCGAATAAAAGTAAATTAAAAATATAACAAAAAATTTTTAAAACAATGAAAAAAATTTATAATGGTAAAATAAAATTGAAACACAGTGTATATATTTATGCCAGAACTATATTAAAGTACTGTATGTAAAAATATGCATATACTGACTGTATCGTATATGAACAAATTACCTAAAAATAATCTCTAGTAAAATATCAATGCAGATATATTTTTTATTAATTATTAGTTATGTTTTTTCCTAATTAGATTTTTTTTCCTGCTTGAAAAGAATAATTTTCTGNATACTATGCATATTTATAATTTCATATTTAAATTTCATAACTAAATGCAAAGCTTAAACGGTTTAAATTAATATAAATCAGAACCAATCGATTATTTAAACTAAATATATTTTTATTTATTGAATTAATGATACCTTTTAAAGCATAATTTTATATGATTACAGGCTTCATGACCTATCTAAAAAACACGGAATTATAACAATCCCTTCTCCTGACAACAAACCTCTAATATTCCATGATACAGATATCCAGTTGAGCGGAATAAAAACGATTTGGAGCCGTTCTCTATTATTAAGAAATACTGCTGCTGATAGTACTGATCGAGCTTGCACTAATATAGTTAATAATGATGGGGTAAAGACAGTGGAAGCTATATTTGCAAGCCCTATTGCCGGAAAAATAATCATTCGTGAGAATACAGTAGGGGAAACATCCATATTTACTAATTTATATCATACCGGAGATGGTTATAATCCGTCTAGCAATCACGAATGGAAAATTTTGGCAACAGATATCGTAGGTAACAATAAAAATCCGAGAAATAATAAATGCGAATATTTACAGCTTCTGTATGAACAAGGAAACATTAATGATACGAACTGCAGTAACACGAATCATAAAGAGTGTAAGGTTGGAGATCTTACAAAGAAGCATGGAAAGGTGGTTGTAGGATCAGGAAATACTCGATATTCTAAAAAATTTTTTATAGATACTAATCTTCCGTTAATTTCTGCCAGTGGATCAAGAAATTTATATGTAGTTTTGTATGAAAAAGATAATTCCTATCGCATCAAAGCATGCGCTATTATGGTGACTATTAAACCCAAAGAAGTAAAGGCTTATTTTAATCATGATGGAGTTAAAGGTTATATTAGGTTCAGTCAGAGTTATAGAATGGATCCAACCGTTGTTACTATAGATTTAAAAAATTTAAGAGGAAGGGGTTCTGGATTTCATGTTCACATGTTTCCCGTGCCATATCACATAAATCAAAATGATAATCTATGTGGCGCTACAGGAGGCCATTACAATCCTTTCCAGATCGACCCTTCTACTAGTCCAAAACCAGGATTAGGTACTAACGATCAATATGAATTAGGAGATTTAAGTGGAAAATATGGACTTCTAGATGCTGGACCTATTTTCGATTTCTATTTTAATATTCATGCAGATTTTAATTTACCACTTTTTGGTACGTACAGTATTGTAGGTAGATCTGTTGTGATTCACAGACCTGACGGAAGCAGATGGATATGCTCTACTATTGGATATCCAGAACCAGTCACAATTGCACATGCTAATTTTATGCATCCTGTAGTCGGTCGTGTGGTATTCAAGCAACAAGCTGGAAATCCCTGGGGAGAAACTACAGTTCATGCCTGGCTTAGTTATTCAGATGGCACTCAAAATAACACAGAAAATCATCGTTGGGACATTCACGAAAGTGAAGCAGGTAGGGATTTTTATAACTGGTCAAAAAGATGTGAGAGTGCTGGTAAAGATTACAATCCACACTTTGTTGGTACGAAGAAATACGAAAGATGTAATCAAGACAATCCATTAAGATGTAAATTGGGAGATTTAACCGGTAAACATGGTAGAATTAAAATCACAGCAACACGTGATAGTCTGGGCACTAATCAAATTTTTTATACAGATGTTTTACTTCCGTTAGAAGGAATTCATTCTATAATTGGAAGATCTCTAGTAGTCCATGATGATCAAGCACCTCCATTTCGAGGAGATAGACTTGCATGTACCACTATCACTTACTATCACGGTCTCAAAGCTACTGTTAGAAATTTAGCAGTAGGAAGACAAATAGAAAGCAATGTAACTGGTTTATTTGAATTTAGTCAACAGGATTTTAGCGATCCAACAGAAGCGAAAGTAGAAATAAGAGGACTCGATGGGCTAGCTAGTGGTTATCATGTTCATATGGTTCCCGTACCTATTAGCAAGGAATTCCCATGCACAGATGATTCTGTTTACGGGCATTTCAATCCTTTTAATATAAATGTATCGTTGGGACCAGCAGCGGGAGTAGGTTCTGTCGATCAATACGAAGTTGGAGATTTAAGTGGAAAATTTGGCACGCTTGATGGAAAAGACGAAGAGAGAAATATATTCCACGATATCAATCTTCCTCTCCACGGAAAGAATTCCATAATTGGTAGATCGGTGGTAATTCATAAAAAAGAGCGAAATTTTCGATGGGCCTGTGGAAGTATAGAACCAGTATTTAGTAAAAAGGATGATGTACAATTGATCAGCGCTATTGCTTCTTTTGATAAAATTGATTCATTTATCCAAGGATACGTTAGAATGGTAAGTCGTATTTAATTTAATTTTAGTAATTAGTTTCTAAATAATCTTTCAATCAAATAAAAATTTTAGTTAAATATTCTATTATATCTTTAATATTATCTTATATAAATATAAATATTTTACCTTATATATAGTTTTGTTATTTTATTTTTATTCTTTTTCAAATTTTGTTCATTTTATCACGTTTTCAAAGTAATGAAGAGATTGTTGGAATTTCACTAAGATTGGATTGAATTGGATTTTTAACGCAAAACATCGTTTCACACTGGATTAATAAAATAAAAGGCTGAAAGAGCCAATATATAGGAACTTATTAGGCTACATAGATTTAAGAAACATGTAATATCTGATAATAAAAAATCCTGCAGGCTGTTTGGAAAGAATTTTCCTGCCGATTTGAAGAATAAAAATTCGAATCATCATCTTTTATATTTTCCTGGATGATTGGGCTTAGGAAGATGATTTCCATTCCTAACCGTATTAACTAATTTAATGAGAGTTAGATTTATTCATAATACTTAAAGGCGATGTAATCTAACAAGTGATGAATGAGTTGAGAAAGAATTTATTCTACCAGTGTTCTGTTTTATGTAGGCTATGTATTATTTTATGATAATAAGTAATGAAATAAGATTATATGAATTAACGAAAGTTATAACAAATATTTATAACGATTAAACAATATTCGTAAAAAAATATAGCTTACATTTATTCGAAGTAGTTTCTTTTTTTTCTCCTTAAAAGTTAGGTCTAGATGTTCATTACAGATGATTTTGACGGAAATAATTAATTTAATTTCAAACTGTTATCAAAGTCGTAAACAATGATTTGCTGTTTGGAGAACATCTCAATCTGTTTAATTACCTCTTTAATTGACTTTAATGAAAGGAATTGTTTACAAATTCTCTCATCGTTTCTCATGTGTAGCTTTTTTCTCTCGTTAATTACTTAAGTGATATTTAATTATGCCATTTCTTATTTTATTTTTCGGTCAAATGTAACTAATTCAAATTGTTTTTTATTTAGCGACAACTGAAATATCCTGATGGTTCAATGAGTGAAACGTGGATCGAAGTGGATCTCAGATACCCAGGAAAATATACTAGAGATATTGTAAGTAAATATTACCAGAACTACACATTAATTTATCATATATCCATGTAATGTTTAATTTCAAGATAATTTATCAACGGACAAGTCTTATTATGTGCACAACAAAACAAATAAAAACTTATTTCTCACCACATACATAAAGACAACTTTAATTTATGCACTTTTACACATTTTTTTTTCATAAAAACAATGTTTTTTTGCAAGATTAGCCCAAATAATTCTATTGGCATTCCCATTATCTTTGCCTGTCAAAGACAATCCATAAAATGCTTTTAAATTTGTTAAAAACAAATTTTTGAAAGTTCATACCAATGATCCCTGCCATTTTGTCTTAGGATAGAAAACATATAATAAGTATCTCAAAAAGTTTTACAGAAAATATAGCTTTGTCATGTTAATAATGAATCCTACAATTGTTTACTATTGTAATGATATTGGATATCATGAATATAAATGAATAATGACAATTAGTTTTAGTATTATAAACACTTCTGGTGTTTAATGAAACTTGTTGCAATGATACATGTATATAATTTATATATTAAAAAAAAATCATTTACTGTATCAGAACTTGGAAGATTGTATAAAATCTTTGAAGAAAGTTAATTCAGTTTTTTACTTATATAACATAAATTTTTTAAATGTTGTCCATTTATTAAGAGTTTGATGCTAAAGATTCAATCACTGCTCTTGTAATTAATTTTAACTGTTTTACCAAATATTCGTCATTCTCTATTAATTTAATATTGCCATTGAAAAGCATTTATTCTAAGTAGGTAACCGTGACAGACATCAAGGTTGACTGAACTAAATAAGGTATCTAGGGCATTAGTCAGTGGAAAGTTGTTTTTCTTTTTACTGATTAGCATACTGTAAAGACTTGGTGTCTTTGAGGAAAGTTAGAATCTGTTCTTCTATTTCTTACATAATATACAGTTTTATAGGCTAATTTCTTTATACAGTATATACATTTATTGCAAATTTTTACTTTAGTGATTATATCAAATAAGATGAATTATTATATATTCTATAACCTAAGTGTAAAAAATTATTTGATTCACAGTATTTAGGATAAATATTGTGATTTTTTTTAGTACTTTTGAACAAATATTGCAATTATTTAAGATTTGGATGAAGAATATATCAATTATATATTTGTTTTATTTTAAATATAATGTAACATTGCAAAATAAGAAAAATTAATATTATAGATTATAATAAAGCTTTTGATATATTGAATAAATGAGAAACATTAAGAACATTAATAAATAAATGACCTTTTAAAATATTAAATTATTTTTACAAAAGTTAAGGTAATATTTAGTTTAATTCAGGAATATATTCAAAGGAGATAAATGATTATAACTGACAAATAATTTGAGAAGAGAGAGAGGAAAAAAGTTTACAACACTTATATCAGAAGTACAGAGAAAAAGAAAAGGGAAGAGACTGATGAATATAGCAATAGTATTTTAATCAATTAATAAAAGAAGAGATTAAAAACAGTAAATGCTAAATTAGAAACAGCTTTCCACAATTTGTATTTGATGTTTTTAATTTCTGAAAAATAAAAAAAGCTTAAAATTTTTTCTTTAAATGCATATTTTTTATAAAATTTCTCTAAATATAATTGATTTATTTTGTAATTTTTTTATTCTCATCATTTTAGTTTTTCCATATCTATTTTAAGTTGGCTTTACAAGTCCTGTTTCTCGATCACCTTCTATTCTGTTATTCTTTTAAATTGTCATTTTATAGTCAACTGTCCTACTTGACACCAATTCTGTTATCTCCTTCAGGCTTAGGATCTTACACATGTAATTGAACTAATGTTTAGAAATATTTTTTAAAAGAATAACTGTGTTTAAGACAAATGTCAGCAAATAATTATAGACTTTAAAATTATTGTGACATTGTCACAATGCCGGGCTGCAATTTTTAATCATATTTTTAATTTATTTAATTTAAAATATATGCTCACCACCTCAAATTATTAGTAGTGGCTTGCCCCTATACATCATACTTTGTCTTTAAAAATAGAGTCGTGCCAGTTATCTATTAACTTCTTTCCGGGGAAAAGTTTTGAATTGAAATAATGTGACTTTTGATTTGTGTCAGAAGTTTATATATAGTTAATCAGGGCCTATTGTCCCCTAAGCTTTCCATATCTGGTCTCAGATTTCATCTATCTAACTCCATTCTTGAGATTAAGGAAGGACGGACAGATGGATGTCAGTGGGAATTTATAAATCTACAATTTTTTCAAATTGCAGCCAAAAAAGTGAATTAAAAATATATTTAAATGACATGGTTTCTTTTTATATAATAATCATTGTTGCTTTTAATATTATATTATAGCTATATTGTATTAATTATATTATAATGTTTAAATACAGAATTTCAATAAATGAGAAATGAAATATTATACATATATGTAATATTTATTGAAATGAAAGATATTTANTATTGTTTAAATAGTTCAAGGTTATAAACAAGGAATTTCTTCTAATGCATATTTGACGTTGCATCAATTACAATGAAACATTTTATTAGTTTTTATAGCAAATTTCACCTTAATATTAGTTATTTTATATATATAATCCTTTCAAACTGGAATTCTCAGTTTGTAAGATATAGTAAATTAAATATAATTTTACAAACTTGTAAAATTTTATTTAACAAAATTATTTTATTGTAGAATTCAAAAATTATACATTTGTCATATATTTTTATTTAATATATTTATTGTATAGAAAAGTAAAGAAGGAATTAGGTGTATTAATAACTTTTATTTTCAAAATTATATGTTTAAGTACAGTACAGGGCCATCAAGAAGGGTAAGTGAGCTATTCCCACTAAAGGGCCTCTTTTATCATTATCCCTGGGCCCAACATAAATGCTTGATGTCTCTCATTTGTATATACTAGAAAGAACCAATTGTTACAAAATAGTAATGTAGAAAATCTGTATATATTAATTAAACTTTTGGTTCATAAACCCAACCAACAGACTTATTATATATCAGGCAATGTTTATTCAACAAATAAAATCCAATATGCATTTCAACAACAAAACAATGTTGTTCTCCTCAGCTGGTTTTAATTTACAACCTTTTTAACTGACATTGGCTGGTCTGTTATTGATTGGGTTTATGAACTAAAAGTTTAAATTAAAATACAGACAAAAGGCATTAATAAATGTACTTTATATTCTGCATAACTTGCATAACAAATTCTGTCAATTCACTATTCTATAGTAAGGTCTTTGCTCTTTTTTTATTCATTGAAAAAAAAGCAACATATTTTAAGCAGATTTATGCTATATGAAAAACATGCAGCATATATTTAATGAAAAAATTGTAGTGGTTATCAAAGAAAGAAAAGAATATTCATACATTATTATTAAAGTTGATACCTAAAAAATTGGCTTATATAACAGCTAATATTAGATTACTTGGTCTGCAAATGAATAAATATCATAAATGAATGATTTAGAGTATGGCCATAATTATGTGTCAATATGTAACTTTGGTTTGAATTGAATTTCATGGTCTTGATATATTATTAATTTTTAACAACATATTTTTATTAGATTTATCTTATCTATGTTAATTTTCAAATTAAGTTTATCTAAGCAAGTTTTCCAAATTTAATAAAAATAATAATTTTGATAAATTTTAAAAATTTATATCTTTTCTTATAAACATTATTTAAATTAATTTTATTGTTACAGAATAAAGTTTTGTTTCAGTTTAGCAATGTTATTTCTTTCTTATTCAAATAAATTGTAATATAATATTCTTAAACTTGTCTTAATCTCCAGTACAAATAATAATTTCTTTTATAGATTTCTAATACAAAGTTTATTTCATTAAATTGGACAAAACATCCCAAAAAATGACAATATTGGCAGCAAATATATATGTATAGAATTTCATTAAATGTAACAGAAATTAAAAAGTAACAATTTTTATGAATAAAGCATTACTTTACCTAATGATAATGATATTCAATAAGATTAAGTAACTTATTTTTATAAGTTACTTAATCTTATATTTATATGGAATTCAATATTTATTGAATTCCATACAGTTGCTAGCTCATTGAGATTTTAATATTTAAGAATTTTTATGTAATAAACTATAATTTTTTTTAAGTTAAATTCTGTTTAAAATAAATTTTTCATAAAAATTTTTATACATAAATTAGTTTCATATATGTGTTTGAAACATTATACAATGTTAAATTATATGTATAAATATTCCAGTTTTAAAATACAAATTATTCAGACCTTAATGAATGTATTTGTTGTTTAGATATATACAGTAATATCTAATTTCAAATATGTTTATACATAAAATTATTCATAATGTTGTTTTTAAAAGATATATAAAACTGGAGCCTTATGTTTTCAAGTTTTTATTTATTTAAATTATTTAATAATTTTGCATTAAATGAATGAAAAATGAACTTTCCATTCATTTAATGGATATTTCATTTTTCATCTAAAGATGAATTGATGGTATAAAAAATATTAAATTTTTAGAAAATATATTGTTTACCAAGAAAAAAATGACAATTAGTTAGATAACTACTTCCAACAATTTAACACCTTGTTGAATAATAACGATCCACGAAAAAACCTTTTTTACGAGGGTTATTTTCACTATTAAGTTCCACTAGTTAAGTTTCACTACTAAGTTCCACTATTAAGTGGAACTTAATAGTGAAAATAACCCTCGTAAAAAAGGTTTTTTCGTGGATCGACAATTAGTTATCATTAAAGAAAGAAAAAACTATTTTTTAACAAGTGTTAAGTAAAATACAATTGAAATGTCAATTAATATTATTATTAATTTCAATAAATTAAACATATAAGAAATTTACACTATGGAAAATCCCAATAGAAGAACAATCTCTAAGTACAAAGAAGTGAAAGCTTAGAATTTAAAATTTTTTAATTATTTTGATTGATGAAATAATATAGTAAATATAATATAGTATAGCAAATAGAGTTACTATCTTTCTGAGTTTGTTCCTAAGACTGGATTTTTGTAATGGATCTCCAGACTTTAGTTATCATTTTTCAGTTATTTAAACCTGTAACTATTTAATTAGTAGAGTAATATTATATCTTAGGATTTTATTGAGTTATAAATATTCATACAGGTTATGGCTTCTTATACCAGTATTAACAAAAATAGATCAAAAGTTTCTTGATAAATGCATTTGATAAGACTTTCTATTAATAAGAAATAAAATGAGAGTGAAAATTGTGAAATTAGAACATTGCATAAGATTAAATTGATATGAGTTGTTCATGATTTATGAAATTCATCAATGAATATTAGCAAATTAATACATTACATAGCATTTTAAAAAATGTATAAGAATATTGATTAATGTATAAAGAAAGCAAATGATCTTATATATATATTTTAATTTTTGATAGTTATCTCTAAGAAAATAAGCTATATAGTCATCTAATCAAAGCTCATCATTATCAGAAAATTGAGATTACTAATAAATTATTATAAAAATAATTAACTTTTTTTGCTTTCCTCTCTAGGCTTTGAGTGGCCATGAAGTGGAAAAATGATAATTATTTGTACAAAAGCATGATCTCCTTTATATAAAAATTATCCATAAGCATACTATATGTAATATGTGTATATTTGCAAACTAATAATTAAATATACTTTAATACTATAAATTAATTTTAATCATATATATATATATATATAGCATGAATCATTTGATATAAATGTTTATCATGCTTTCTTGCTATTCTATGGATGATTTTTCAGGAAGATATAGAATGTGAAAGTTGTTGATAAATATTTTTGCTACTGAATCATTTATTAGTGAGAAGTATTTTAAATAATGCATTTTTACTTAAATCAGATATATATGTTTTTCCATATTAAAATTTATTTAAAATATAATATTTTCAATGTATTCCAAAAATAACTTATAGAAACACAACCATAAATTTAATTTTGAATAATTCTTTAAAAATTACCATAAAAAATGGAATGTAAAATATAATAAACTTTTTATTTTCAAGATAATTAATTTGATTACATGAAACATTAATTTCTTGATTGTAAGTTATCATCAAAATTCAAAATAGAATGTTCATAAAAATTAGAAATGTTTTTCCTTTCAAACAAGGATTTACTTGTAAGCAAGGATCATACTTTTTAAAGTATGATGCTTGCTTACAATAAACATATGGACTCTTTGAGTAAGGTTTGAGTTTTGTATTGAATTTAATAATACTTTTTAAATTCAATATAAAATCAAACCTTACTCAAAGATCCATATGTTTATTTTCCATAATGTTTTTGAGAAGAATTTCTTTCTCCACCATCAGTGATACACCATACAGCTATTCAATTACGAAATGTTCAGGATTTCTTGAGTAAGGTTTGAGTTTTGTGTTATTTTTCTTTTACAATACATGAATACATTTCATGAATACATGAAAAACATATGAGATGTTTTTGAACATGAATACATGTTCAAAAACATCTCATATGTTTTTGAACATATTTTAAAGTCTTTAGTCTTTATTAGAGGAAATGTTTTCTTAAAATTTGTTCTGAGAAGACATTTGTATCAAAAAGCAAAACGCCTTAATGCTTATTGATAAATATCTAAAATTAAAATTGAAGATAAAGTCTGTTTAAGAAGGAACTGCCATTTATTCACTTTCAATGTTCCAGAATACAAACTTTTGATGACCGACCTTTCTAATATTTAAAAATAAAAAGTGAAAATATTTTGGTTTTTGCTTTTAAAAACAGCAAGCAAACTAGTACAAAATTATTATTTTGTGTTAAATATGTCAATTTTTTTCTAATATATGTAATAAAAAATAAAATTACCAGTATCAGTTTATATATTTAAACTTAAAGTAAGTATCCTAATCAGTTAATGATCGTTATTATATAATTAACTAATTTATAAACATGTTTTAGTAATTCTTATAATCTCTGTCTGCATTTACATATCATATAATCATAAAATACTAATTATAATTATAGAAATAAATTATCTCAATAATTTCATATTTAAGATTTTAAAAAAGTTTACAAGAAACAATTTTCTGATTTGTAATGTTCATATTTTTAGACAACTGGACATAAATGGGCAATTTATGTTAATCAAGTTGGCCATGATGCAGTAGAAAAAGTGGAGAAAGTTCGATGTATTTCTGCTGGATTTATATGGAATCCCTATACTGTAAAAACAGATGATGTAAGAAATTTCCTGAAAAGATTTTTATATTTATAATCACAAATAATTACAAATTTTGGTAAATTTAATTTATGTTTTGTGTAGGATTTATATAAGAAAGATTGTCATGCTTCAAATCCTCTACGTTGTGCTATGGGTGATTTGTCAGGAAGACATGGAACTGTAGAAATTGGTGGTAGAAAAAAAGTATTTTCTGATATGAATCTTCCTTTAGTGGGAAATTTTTCAGGTAATGCATTATAAATATATCAGATTTATATACTTTNGAAAATGTTGGTTTTATTTAAAATTAATTGCTTAAAGTTGCAAATTTTTTTTTTTTAATATTAAAAATGAATGTTTTTTTTAGTTTAAATCTATTTTTATAATTATCACATAATTTTTTTAGTGATGAAACGTTCGCTTTGTGTAGGATTTCTATAAGAAAGATTGTCATGCTTCAAATCCTCTACGTTGTGCTATGGGTGATTTGTCAGGAAGACATGGAACTGTAGAAATTGGTGGTAGAAAAAAAGTATTTTCTGATATGAATCTTCCTTTAGTGGGAAATTTTTCAGGTAATGCATTATAAATATATCAGATTTATATACTTTTTCCTTTGTTAAAATTTATCTGAAAAGTAACCTGATTATGTTAATTTTAACACATTTTAAAAAGTAAATAGATGTAAGCATCAGCTACAAATTATTTTTTAAATTTTTCAAAATTTTATTGAATAATTTTAAATTAAATTTTATTATTATTCAAATATTTTATGATTTAAAAAATCATCAAGAAGGAATTAAATATTGTACTTAAATAACACTGAGTTTAGTTAATGATAATCCACAATTTTTAATCATATTTTAACAACTATACTATCATCATAGGCATCCGCACAGTGGGGAAAATGAGGCACACACTCCCCTAGGATTGAGTAAAAAATTCCACAAATTATAATCATAAAAGTGATTAAGATATGTAACCATAGGAACCTACATTCAACCATGGGACACTTTCTGTCTTTTTGTATTTTGTACTTTCTTTTTGATAGTACAAAATACTGTATTCTAGTATCTGCTTGTGAAAGAAACCCAATGAATTAAATAATTAAATAAAAATTTATTTATGTAATTATTTGCCTCCATGCTTTGCCTCCTTGGAAAATTTTCAGATGTCCATGCTATTATGCACATATACTATATACATAGCATTCTGGTTTCTTTGAGATTAAGATGAAAAATTCAAGATGAGTATAGATATATATATATAGTCATAGAAATTAGTGTCTATACTGTTGATATCTCTAAGTATCAACTCATAGAAATCATCATCTTAGTAATCAAGTAATCATCTCTTAGAAATATCAACACAGTGGACTGTGTTGATATTTCTAAGAGGCTTTTTTTGGAATTTTTCTGAGGAATTTAGAGAATTTGTATGGCTATATTAAGATTAAAAATTGGTCTATTTACTATAATATTTATTATAATAAAACTATAGTAGTTTTTAACTATATATTAGCCTATGATATTTATCGTACTATATTATAATTAAATATTATAATTTTTATATATATCATTTTCTGTTATGTCATCTAAAGATATGATAGTTGCATTTTAAATCTTATGAAAAAATCTTTTTTATTTTTTCAATGTCATATATTTTCATATATTTTACAGTTAGATTAAAATAATGTATTATATAACAGAAAGTTGCATAATGTATGACATTACTAACCTTTCAATAATTTTAATTCTTTTGGAGATAGTTGAACTTATAACATTCTTTTCATATTGTATTATATAAAAGACTACATATAAATTGAAAAATATTAAATATTCTTTGTTAGATTTTTTAAATGTTAATTTTTACAAAATATAGACTTCTGAGCACAATATAAAATTTATATTGATAGTTAATGTATTATAAATTGTATTATAGTTAGTCCATAAGAATTTAATGAAAATTGTTGTAAACTTTTCTTATATGAACTTCATTCTTTAAATAAGTTTCATAGAAGTGTCTAGCAATATTATATTAAATTTCATATATTACTTTATGTAAAGTAGGCCTGTCCAAGAAATTGAATGTAATCAATTGGTTCATCATAGATAATATGGCCTGTTAAAAAAATGTAAAACATTTGTAATTTCTACAGAAACATTAATTCAATATTTTCTGTGAAGAAATGCAATATTTATAAAAATATGGTTTTATAGCACTGTACTTCATAAGTTAATTTCACTGAGTACAGTGTTAATAGTTTTTATATTGCTAGCACTTTCAAAAAACTTATATTCATCATTGTCAGGTAAACAGAATTTAAAATCAAAATACAAATTAACTTATAATTGAATACATTTTGATTATAAGTTAATTTGTAGTTGTTCTGTGTTTATGATTACAGTGCACTGAAAAGTGCATGCACATATTGAACAAGGAACATGAGGAATTGGAACATCAATGGTCATAGTTAGGTTATGTTAGGATCAGTGGTGATATTCAGCGGGTTCGCACAGGTTCGGCCGAACCCGTTGTTAACATTTTCAAAGTTTTCCCAACCTTGTTAAACATATATAACATTTCTCAGTGGTTTTGTTTCTTTTAAAAAATATATTAAAATATACATATTATACTCTGTAACACTACTAAACTAGAGCTTTCCGATGCACCATTTGAGCGAAAAAAATTGTTAAGGAAAAATTTTCTGTTAGCGAACCCTTTGTTAAATGTTTCGAATATAACCACTGGTTATACATACATGTCGATACTTTTGGTATACACTAAATACATTTGGGAAAAATAAGTGAATGTTAACAGAAAAAATAAGAGATGAATGCAAGTAACAATNAAAAAATTGTTAAAAAAAAATTTTCTGTTAGCGAACCCTTTGTTAAATATTTCAAATATCACCACTGGTTAGGATACTTTAAAAATTACTTAATGTTAAGGTTACATCAAAGTAGAGAAGCAAAAATTTTCATGCTGAATGGAAATCAAATACTTCTTTTATGGCAAAATATCAATGCTATTATATTAATTTATAATGTCTCAATGCTTTTACCAAAAAAGATAACCTAGAACATATTATGGTTCAATAAATAAATATAACAATTTATACCTGTAACATCATTTTACAGTATATTATAAATGTGAACTGACCACTGCAATATAAATTTCAAAGGAATGAAAATGTAGTGGCAGACTATTAATACTTTTAACTCATGAAAATAGATTATATCTCATTATAAGTTGGCCAGGCCTGATGTAAAGACTAAAAGAGTTTTAATATTAGAAAATATTAAAATTTAAAAATATATTTTGATCATCAGTTGGAATGAGAATGGAAATTAAAGTCAGTTAATATTTTATCAAAATTCTAAGTTTAATTTAAGAAAAAATTTTCAAATTATATAGATTTTAATACAATATCTGTTGAGTTTTGCCAGAAATTTGACTTTTTTTAGTTAGGAGGAGTTTTCATTTAAAGTTGGAATTAGAGCAACTATACTTATATACCCGCAGTCCAAAAATGTTGGTTAATGTAATTTTATGTAAACAATGAAGTTTTAGATAATGTTATTAGAAAGCATATATAGCCATAACATTACTAAAGCATAAATTAATCAAATATAACAATATCATATAACACAGCTGAATGGTCAAGGCAGTTAAGGCATCAGTCTACCACCCTGTGTACCTATGATTGGATCCAGGTGAGCAATCCTGAGAATTTTTCATAGGAGGCCTATCCCAGATATGTCAGGCTCCATCCCTAATCATTTGGCAACCTATTGTAGATCTGGCTGAACCCATGATGGATACAATTACAAAGGCATTCAGAATGCACACAGACAGAAAAAGTAAAAAATAAACTCCATAACATATATTAGCTGAATTATTAGCTACATACAGAATACTATTAAATAAAATTGCAAATACCTGAAGGCTTATTAATCAGGCAGAAAATGTTGGTTTTATTTAAAATTAATTGCTTAAAGTTGCAAATTTTTTTTTTTTTAATATTAAAAATGAATGTTTTTTTTAGTTTAAATCTATTTTTATAATTATCACATAATTTTTTTAGTGATGAAACGTTCTCTTGTGATATTTGATGAGAATGGTGGAACAAACAAAATAGGATGTGCAAATATTGGTTACGATAATCATTTAGAACATTATGTTAATGTGATGAAGCATCCAGGCTTTACAAGGTAAGTGCAGTATTTTCCACAAATAATTGAATTGTATGAAATTAGAGAAATTAATATTGTATATATCAGCAGTTCCTAACCTTTTCTACAAGATGCCTCCCTGATTGGGGCGCGCATGCAATGTTGCCTTCCCAGCATATTCATAAGTGTTTATTGCTCTGTATTCAATATTCATTTGTTTTTTATTACAAATTAAATAATATCGGTAAAGTTTTATTGAAAATATAAAGCAAAAATACAATTGCACTACTAAAAATACCGACCTACAGCACTTTGCACAAATAAAATGGGTAGGCCTAATATCTGTACATAGTGTACAACCAGGAATTTATTCTTTCTGAATAGTTATAATAATGTAAATTTTTAAAAAATGTTTTCCATATTTTCACAAACTGTAAACATCAATGTGAAATTTGAGCTTGTTTTAAATTGCACAAAATGATCAATGTTGGATTCTAACACTGTCAGTCCCACATGCAGGTCATTTTACTGCTGCAGCTACAGCTTTCACTCAAGTTACAAGGCCAGTATTCTTCCCTGTCATAGCTGTAGCATCATCAGTGCATAAACCTATACAATCAATCCAAGTCAAGCCTTCAGCACACACAAATTTGTTAAGTAATCAAATATGTCTTCACCTAAAGTTGTTGTTGGGATTGTTTTACAAAACAGTAACTCTTCATTTATATTTCTTTCTGTGGCTTATCGCATGTAACAAATAAGCTGAACCTGTGATGAAACATTGGTTGATTCATTAAGTTGCAACATAAATAATTCATTTTATTTTATTTGTTGAATTAATTGCATTTTCAAATCCATAGCCAAGTCATCAATTTGCCATGAAACTATTTGACAGTGAAATAGTTCATAATGCCTTTGCAGCTGCCTCTCCATTGATAATGTGACACATTTCTAAAGCTGCCGGAAGCAACAAATTCTTGGCAATAGTGTGTGATTTCTTACATTTAACAATTTTCATAGCTACTACATAAGAAGCTTTCAATGCTTCCTGCAATACCATGGCTTCTTTTGAATTACAGTTTTCTGTTGTTAAAATTCCATCACTTTTCAAACAAAAAAACTCATTATGCTTGTGTACATAATTTTCATACATTGTTTCCAGATATCAGCTATATATACATATACACTATACATGCGTATACACACGAATAAAACAACATATTGCGAAATATATTAGACATGATATAAGATACAACAACAAGCATTTTTAAAATGTAAAATCATAATATAAGAGAACTTGAAAATAAATGACACACTAGGGCTGTTTTGCCAGATTTGCTACAAAAATAAGAAAAGTTACACTTGATATAACTTGTGACATATTGCCTGCACTTTTTCTTTTATTTATTCATTACTATTATTATGTTCACTTTGGTCTGCACTTCTCATAGTTCTCTTCAAATAGCAGTCCATTCTAAATATCAAGATGATTGGTTTAGTTTAATTAGTAGATTAATTAAGTAAAATACGAGTATATGGTGACAGTCCCAACAAGTGCTATTTACACAATGAAGAAAACAAATAAGAGAGTGATGGAAAAACATCATGTGCTTGTGGAGGACTAACACTTACTCATCAGTTGCACACTGAATAGTATTGCATGCATTGGCTTGCACCTCCCTTGAAGGTGTTCCACATCTTTGTGAGGTGCACCTCATTGGATTATGAAATATAGTACTTTATAATAAAATTGCAACTGATATTTTGTTTTTATATCAACACTATTTGTCTTTAAATGTCATTATTAAAGAAACAGTAATGCTAAATAGGCATTTGTGGTATCAATGTTTATGTTAATATCAATTAATATGATATAACCACAAATAAAATGAAGGCAGTGCCTAGTCCCAGCTTATTTTATATCACATTTGATGAAAGAATAGAGATTCCCTAGAATGTATAATCTGTTTAGTAAAAGCCTAGAATTTTTAGCACTCAGTTATATTGTGCTTTTCCTTTTGTCTCTGGATAAACATAATATAACAAGGAGCTACTGTAATTTAATTTTCTGTTTTCCTATATTTAAATCATTTTAATATCTAGTATGTATAGTAGTGGCATGCAGTGAGATTGGAAAGTAGGCATGCAGAAAAACTTTTTGATTTTTAAATAATAATAATGAACAGGAAGAAAAAATAGCAAGATGGTGGCATAGGTGCACCATTTATGCCTAAGCATAGTTGCAAACTCACATGCTTGTTTGTGAGGCTTTTTCATATGTACAAACACAGATCACCAAAATCAAATGAAAATATTCAGACTTGCACCTCACACCAAGCTGTAGTGTCCATGTGGTGTTGCAGACTGCATGGACTACAGAGCAAGAGCAATCTTATAAACTGTGTTACTGAATTCAGTAACACTGTTTTAAAGTTGTTGCCTTCTAGCAATCCTAGTTTCTGATTAGTAGCTTTGATACAAAAAATGGAGAAATAAGAATATTTTACATAATTCAAATAGTTGAATTGGTACAAATTAATATTTAATTAAAATTGAAGTGGTGCATATTTACTTTTTGTATTTTTAATGAATGGCTATTTAGCTGTTTGCAACAAAATTATCTAAATTCAAGTAACTATATAAATTTTATAATGCAGGGGGTTTTAAGTTTTGTTTATATTTTAATCAGTGCTGGATTTTTTACAATTTTTATTTAAATTACACATTTTAGTATGCAATTTTACACTGCCTGTGACATGTTTCCTTTGCCTACAGCTGGCAGAAATGAGCTTTGACTACCTCTCATCCTATCTCCCCAATAGATAGCATTGAGAGGAATGCATGTATCTTCTTTACAGGAGATGAAGGCAGTGCCTAGTCCCATTTTTTTCACAGGATCCATGAAAATCTAAATTTTTAACCATCTACCAGATATGGAATACTAAATGCATGCATTAGGGTTTCTGAAACGGGATTCCGGGATCCCGGTTGTTTTTTAACCCGGGAAATATCCCGGGAAATTTTTCTTATCCCGGGAAATCCCGCAAATTTCTTAAAAATTCACTTTTTTTCTTATTTTGTGTTAAGGTTGAGGAGTTTTGCAAATAGAAAGCATAATTAACTCATTCACTGCCAGNTTATAAATTCGGTTCATTTTTAAAATAGTATTTTATTATAAGCTATTTTAGATGATTTTATTATTATTTTGATAAATCATGATGAGCCAGAAAACAAGTTAATAAAAACTAAGTTGAAGATCAAAGATAAATTTTAAAAATTCATTGCATATTTGATAAAATACAAAGAAAAACCAACATTTAATACTAATATTGATATCAGTTCAAGAAAGAAATTCTTTTGACTTTAAATATATATTTGAATTATTATGATCAACCATAGCAACATAAATTTGTTTTTCTTTTTTTATTATTTATTATTGTGTTGAACTATACATGGTATTTTTATATATACTGTACTCCCTCTACTACCAGTTTTACATCTTTAAAAATATTAATCTGAATAATGTAACTATTTAAAATGTTTTTTTTTTCTTATTTTAATATTATACAATAAGGATGAACTAGTCACTGTGGTTACTCAGCTAAATTAATCATTGCATCTTTAACAGTGGACATTCCACTTTCAACTGTCCATGCCTGAAGATGGCTCATTAACCAGGTCAAAAACATTAGTGTTCTTTAAACTTCATCCATGGTTAAATTAAATGTATCTTAATATTACAGATATTGTTCTAATTATGTGAGTCATGACAACTAATAAGAATTTACAAATAGATTATAAGCAAATTCTTCAAAAGATAATTCAATTATTTTTCATTATTCCATTAACTTTAATTAAGCTATGAGAAATTATGTAGTGGATAACCTAATGGTTCAAACAGTTTACAATATTTTTACTTCTAGTGCAACTTTTATGGATAAGATGAGAGAATTATTGAATGCTAGTGATTGGCTTGTAGTACAAGATGCACAGTCTGAAAAAGAAATTGAAGAAGGAAAGTGTGTGCAAATAAAAGTTTCTTTTTATGGTTTGTATTTTAATTATGTAAATTTTAACAATATCAAAATACATGAAATAGTTTTTAATTGTGAATAATATGTTTATTCTTTTACTTAGGTCCTGAAGCATACAGGTTACAAATTGAATTTGAAAATCTGTTAAAATTAGGCAGTGTTCAGCGTAGAACAAAAACAGGATTAAAATTAGTTAAGACATATTACAAGCCGTGTGCAGGTAAGAATGATCTCTATTACAACTAACTAGGTTGCCTGATAGTTCAATCAACATTAACTCACTTATAATTAAAATTTTAAAATATTTTTAAAAAGCAAGCAAATTTGTAAAACAAAACTTAATTAATTAATTAATCAAATTACTAAAAAAGTTTAAATAAATTTAAATTTAATTATCTTTTGTGTGAAACAACCAGGGCTGCAGAATCTGTAAAAAACACTTGACTCCGACTCATGATAATTTTAGTTGGCCGACTCCGGCAAAATTAAATACCAAGTCATTTTACGGAGGGCAGAGATGCTGATAGGGGTACCCTACTCTGAACTCTGGGGAAACACCATGTGCTTCTTTCAAATACAAAAGTTCACATAATCCAAATTGCATAGTTAGTATTTTTAATACATATTTAACTTACATTAATATTTATTTGTATAAAAAAATTAATAACAGGAGAAAGGGGGCAATAAAATTCTACATCTACATATTTTTATTCTACAGCATTTGCACTTCAATTTCACCCTTTCAGAAAAGTTAGATCACACACCTTTTAGTTGGACTAACTACTTCAGCCCCTTGTTCAGAAAAGAAAAATATATACTCTGATCAATTAGTCTGGCTCATTCAGAAAAATAGAGTACTTATTTAGAGCAGGGGCAATAATAATAGAAATTTT